TGAAAAGGTATGGAGATAGGACACATCCCTGGCATACACCCTTCCCAATTTTGAACCATGCAGTGTTGCCCTGCTCTGTTCTGACGACTGCCTCTCGGTCCAAGTATAAGTTTCGCATTAGCATGATTAAATGTTCTGGGATTCCAATTCTTCTCAGAGTCAGCCACAGTTTGTTATGATCCACGCAGTCAAATGACTTGGAGATAAAAATGAGGCTGGGGATGGTATGATAGAATTTTGCACAATCAGTTATTTATTCATAGCAAATACCTTATATAAGAAACTTAAACACAGGCTATCCACATGGATTTCACCTGATACTATGCACAGGAATCAGATCGATTACCTCTGTGGAAGGAATCATTGTAGAAGTCCAGTATCAGCAGTGAAAACTAGGCCAGCTGCTGATTGCGGAACAGACCGTCAACTACTCATATGCAAGTTCAAATAAAATCTAAAGAAAGTCAAATCAAATCCACAGGAATCAAAATTTGATCTTAAATCTATCCCTTCTGAATTTAAAAACCAATTTAGGAACAAGTTTGAGGCCTTGAACACTAATGAATGAAGACCAGATCAGCTATAGGAGGATATTAAGAATATTATCCTTAAAGAATGCAAAAGGTCATTACAAAGATAGAAGAAGAAAAAAACAAAATGGATGTCAGAAGATACTCTGCATATTGTACTAGAACACTGAGAAGCCAAAGCCAAGGGAAGAAATCAAGAAGTTAAGGAGCTGAATAGAAGATTTCAAAGGGCAGCGCAGGAAGACAAAACAAAATATTATAATGAAAGGTGCAAAGAGCTGGAGTCTGAAAATCAAAAGGGCCAAACTTAAGCTGTGTATTGCAATGCTTAAGGATGATATAGGCAGAATGTTGAATCATCCGTGAAGTAGTAAAAGAAGATGGAAGGAGTATACCAAAAGACATTGTCCCAAAAAGAATTGACTGACACAGAAGAAACAACAGATTACCAAGAGGCAATGGTGATGGAGGATGAAGTTCAGGCTGCTTTGAAGGACTTGGCAAAAAAGAAAGCTCCAGGAATTGACTGAATAACAATTAACATATTTCAACAAACAGATGCTGCTCTGGAAAGGCTCACCAGGTTGTGACAGAAAATCTAGAGGGCAACTACCTGGCCAACTCACTGGAAGAGATTAATATTTATTCTCATCCCAAAAAAACGATGACCCAACAGAGTTCAGAAGTTATAGAACAATATTACTACTATCACACGCAAGCAAAACCCTGCTGAAGAGTTTCCAAAACCACCTGGAACAGCACATTAACAGATAATTACCAGAAATAAAAGCTGAATGTAGAAGAGGTTGTGGCACTAGAGACATTATTGCCAATATCAGATGAATCTTGGCAGAAAGCAAAGAGTACTAGAGGGTTATCTGTTTATCCTTAACTATGCAAAGGTATTTGACTGTGTGAATCATTATAAATTATGGTTAATCTTGAGGGAAATGGGAATCCCAGAACACTTGATTGTCCTTATGGGAAACCTATCCTTGGACCAGGAAGCAGTCCTAGAACAGAGTGAGGAAATTACATGGTTCAAAATCAGGAAAGAAGTGTGTCAGGGATGGATCCTGTCTCCATACCTTTTCAATCTATATACAGAAGAGATCATTCAGGCTGCTGGGATTTATGAGGAGGAATGTGGCATCAGGATTTGAAGGTGACTCATCAACAACCTACATTATGCAGATGACACAATGTTGCTTGCTGAAACTGATGAAGACCTGAAGCACTTGCTGCAGAAGGTCAAGGACTGTAGTCTTTCAATATGGATCAGATCTCAACAAGTTGTTAACAGTTACAGCTTGCTCAGCTCCAAAATCAACACTGTTGGCACTGGCAGTAAGGAAATCAAAAGACAAATTGCTCAGGGAAGATCTACTGTCTGGGATCTCTCCAGAGCACTGAGAAACAATGTTGTCAGTGTTGAGACTAAGATGTGCCTGATCCAGGTCATGGTATTTGCAATTGCTTGCTATGCATCAGAGAACTGGACAGTGACTAAGGATGACAGAAGAAGAATTGATGCCTTTTGGTTGTGGTTCTGGAGAAGAGTATTTATAATAATCATGGACCACCAGGAAAACAAATTGGTCTGTCCTGGAGAGTATGAAACCAAGTTTCTCCTTGGAAGCTGGGATTTTCAACCTCTGTCTTACATACTTTGGGCATGTGGCCAGGAAGTACCAGTCCTTGGAGAAGGACATCATGCTCAGATGGGTGGAGGGAGAGCATAGGTGAGAAAGACCCTGGATGAGATGGAGTGATACAGTCACAGGGTCAATGAGGAGTCAGTGAGACTGGCTCAGGACAGTGCAGGTTTTAGAGCTGTTTTATGTACATAGGATTACTGTGAGTCACAGATGACTTGACAACACATAATAATACCACCACCATTGCTAAATTTAGGAGTTCTAGTGGGTGAGTGGTAAGGAGTTGTGTTGCTGACTTGAAGGCATGCAGTTTGAATCCACCATGGGAGAAAGATAGGAAGTCTCCTCTTGTGCAATGTACTACCTCTCAAAACCCATTGGAAGATCAACTATGCATCAGTTCCAGTGAGAAAGTACACAACACTTTATAAATTTAAAGGATCTAACTGTTAAATTTAAAGACAAAAGTAAAGCTAAAAATACCCAACACTGTTGTTGTTGTTGTTGTTATGTGCCATCGAGTCGCTTGCGACTCATAGCGACCCTATGTACAACAGCCCTAAACTCTGCTCTGTCCTGTGCCAA